AGGAACAGAAACCCCGAAGAAAGGTTCTTCAAATGTGGAGGAAAGCAGAGAAGGAAGGAAAATTACTAACCAATTTTGGTAGATATTGGTGGGATTTTTCTTCTCCTTTCCTGATAGATAGGCTCTTGAATATCAATTCGTGCTACACAGCAAATATTGCACCATTAAATTTATATTTTGTTAATTTTATAACAGATGCAGTGGTGCAGTGGGTTAAACTGCTGAGCTGCTGAACTTGCTGACCAAAAGGTCACCAGTTCAAATCTGGGGAGTGGGGTGAGCTCCCGCTGTTAGCCCCAGCTTCTGCCAACCTACAAGTTTGAAAACATGCAAATGTGAGTAGATGCCACTCTGAATAGACACTGCTCCGGTGGGAAGGTAATGGCGCTCCATGCAGTCATACCAGCCACATGATCTTGAAGGTGTTTATGGACAACACTGGCTCTTTCGCTTAGAAATGGAGATGAGCACCAACCTCCAGAGTTGGACATGACTAGACTTAATGCCAGGGGAAAACTTTTATCTTTACTTAATTTTATAATCAGAATCAAAACTAGACATGAGGTTTGTCACATGGTTACCCCTCAAAACATTTTAAAAACCCTCAGATATTAATGTTAGGGGAAGCAGGAGAATTAGAAGCATATTGTCCTGATATGGCTGCTCCCTGCCCCATCTTCCTTACTGGCTTTAAAAATATGTGTTCTATTGACAACTGTATGACAAGACTCATGTCAATTTGACACTAGCCTTTGGAACACTGCAGCAGAAAAACTTAATTGAGAAACCCCTAAAGATCCCAACATCTCACGCCAAAACACACTGCAAGTCCCTGAAGTGTGAAAATGCAAAAAACGAAAAAACACAAACACACACACAACAAGCATCCCAGAACCCTGTACTACTACTTTTCATTTGCAATCTTTCTCAAAAAGGTGACAGAAAGTGAGAAATATTGGTAATGCTCCCCAAAGCAATATTAGATGTATTCTGGAATAAACTATCAATTGGTCCCTAGAAGATTCAAAATGTTTTTGTTTACTTATGCAAAGCTTAACTGATCTGGTTGTTTCATTTCACTGGTGGATATGTTAGTTTTGATTTAAATATTTTGAATTACTGGAAATTGCTCAGATTCTGTTGAATATTTGAGCACAAACAAGGAAATAATAATAAATAAATTTTGCTCACAGGAAAAGGAGTGAATTCCTGCAAGTAAACCTCCCTCTTCTGAGAAATGTGAATCATTGGAAGCTTGCGATGTTAGGATGGAAAACTTATATTAGTAAATAAATCACAAAACGTTCTGAAAGGATATTTGATGGTTCTCAACAAAGGACAGACAAAATAATAAAAAATAATTCGAGAAAGTCAAAAATGGATTTCCCAATTGGCGGGAAACCTTGACTGGAGGAATCCTGTGTTGCAGAATTTTCACAATTCAGAACCTATTTTATTATTATTAACTTTATTTATACCCCACCTTTCTCCCTGTGGGGACTCAAGGTGGCAACAATCCCACAAAAGATTCACTTATGGGGATTTTACATAGAAGATAAGGTTTCTGCACAGGATTTTTTTTCTGCACTGAATAGAAAGTGTTGATTGATGCTTGGAAAATGCTGTTTCTGCACAAAAATGTGCAAATTTTGTACAGAATAAGTTCTGAATTGCAGTCTCAAATATGTCCATGCAGTTGGAAGAAAACAGCTAGAATGAATAATTACTTATTTCAAAAAGTAATCAATGAACAGTAGCTTTCTCTATGGTTTACTTTCACTTGGCATTCCTTACTTAATTAAACTCCCTGAATCCAAATGAATTTTAGCATTCAGTAGTATGTCAACAGATCTATTCTAGCTAGGATTAACCATTGGATTGAGGCCTACAAACCAAGTAAGACCACAAGGATTGCTTTGGGATAGATGTCTATCAATATCATTAGTAGCAACACTTGACACTAGAGGTGCAATATGCACCTTCATAACAAGAACAAGCCCTATGAGGAGCGGCTTAAGGAGCTGGGCAGATTTAGTCTGAAGAAGAGAAGACTGAGAGGAGATATGATAGCCATGTATAAACGTGTGAGAGGAAGCCACAGGAAGGAGGGAGCAAGCTTGTTTTCTGCTTTCCTGGAGACTAGGACACGAAACAATGGCTTCAAATTACAAGAGAGGAGATTCCATCTGAACATGAGGAAGAACTTCCTGACTGTGAGAGCCGTTCAGCAGTGGAACTCTCTGTCCCGGAGTGTGGTGGAGGCTCCTTCTTTTGAAGCTTTTAAACAGAGGCTGGATGGCCATCTGTCCGTGGTGATTTGAATGCAATATTCCTGCTTCTTGGCAGGGGGCTGGACTGGATGTCCCATGACGTCTCTTCCAACTCTTTGATTCTATGATTCTAAGTAGTGCAGATTGGTATTATCAACATCTTTGTCTAATCAAAGTATATTGAGAAAAATTAAGAATATGTCCCTCCCCAAACTACTGTCAATCTTCTCATTCTTAAGAAAGATCTACCTGGCACACTACAGACAAGGGATACAAGCGAAGCATAGCTATCACCGTATACAGAACTGTTAACCCTGGCACTATGAACACTTTATATTTGACAGTGCTGACAACTCTAAATGCTGTTAATCGTAATTAACAGCATTGTTTTCTGCTGCTCTGGAGGCTAGGACATGGAGCAATGGCTTCAAACTACAGGAAAGGAGATTCCATCTGAACATGAGGAAGAACTTCCTAACTGTGAGAGCTGTTCAGCCGTGGAACTCCCTTCTCTGGACTGTAGTGGAGGCTCCTTCTTTGGAGGCTTTTAAACAGAGGCTGGATGGTCATCTGTTGGGGGTGCTTTGTATGTAATTTTCCTGCTTCTTGGCAGGGGGTTGGACTGGATGGCCCAAGTCTCTTCCATGTGTGTGTTTTTTTAAAGAGATAACCACAATGATGCAAAACAAGGAAATCATGGTTAGTTTTACAGGTGAGCGCCCCTTATCCAGAATTCCAAAGTTGGAAATACTCCAGAATTGTCTACCTGGGTGGCTGAGATAGTGACACCTTTGATTCCTGATGCTAGAGTGGACACATACATCGTTTTAGGTTTTTTTTAAAAAAACATTTCAAATATTGCATAACAAATTACCTCTAGGTTTTGTGTAGAAGGTATATTTGAAACATAAGTGACTTTTATGTTTTGACTCGGGTCCCATCTTCAAGTTATCTCATTATATATATATATACAAGTATATGCAAATACTGATTTTCCAAAATCTGAAGGGGGAAAATCCAAAAGCCAAGACACTTCTGCTCCAAAACATTTGAGATAAGGGATATTCAATCTGTAATGAGTTTAAGTTACTGGAGTGTAGATTGTGGTTGAATACTAAGGCCAACTTGCTAATCATAAGTGCAGTTTAACAAAGGAATCTGTTCTGTCTGTTGTTGAAAGTCTTCCAGCAAAAGCTAGATAGCCATCTCTTGGAAGATTACCACATTCTGGATGTCTTCAAAAGAGCAGATAATTCAACCAGATAATCATATGGCCAATATCAAATTGCCAATATCCACTGGATGATGGAGAAAGGCAGGGTGTTTCAGAAAAACATCTATTTCTGTTTTATTGACTATTCTAAAGCCTTTGGCTGTGTGGATCATAATACATTGTGGCAAGTTCTTGCTGGGATGGGCATACCAAGCCACCTTGTCTGTCTCCTGAGGAATTTGTATAATGACCAAGTAGCAACAATAAGAACAGACCATGGAACAACAGATTGGTTCAAGATTGGGAAAGGAGTGTGGCAGGGCTGTATACTCTTGACCAACCTATTCAACTTGTATGCAGAACACATCATGTGACGTATGGAGCTTGATGAATCCAAGGCTAGAGTTAAAGTTGCTGAGAAACATTAACAACCTTAGATATGCAGATGATACCACTTTGATGGCTGAAAGTGAGGAGGAGCTGAGGAGCCTTCTAACCAAGGTGAAAGAAAAAAGTGTAAAAGCTGGGTTGCAATTAAACACCACAAAGACCAAAATGATGGCAACCGGACTGATTGATAACAGGAAAACAGAGGGAAAAAACATAGAGGCAGTGACAGACTTTGTATTTTTAAGTGCAAAGAGTACTGCAGATACAGACTGCAGCCAAGAAATCAGAAGACGTTTGCTTCTTGGGAGGAGAGCAATGACCAATCTCAATAAAATAGTGAAAAGTAGAGACATCACACTGGTAATGAAGATCCACATAGTTAAAGCAATGGTATTCCCCATAGTAACCTATGGATGTGAGAGCTGGACCATAAGGAAGGCTGAGTGAAGGAAAATAGATGCTTTTGAACTGTGGTGTTGGAGGAAAATTCTGAGAGTGCCTTGGACCGCAAGAAGATCAAACCAGTCCATGCACCAGGAATTAAATCCCGACTGCTCACTGGAGGGAAGGATATTAGAGGTAAAGATGAAGTACTTTGGCCACATAATGAGAAGACAGGAGAGCTTGGAGAAGATAATGATGCTGGAGAAAATGGAAGGAAAAAGGAAGAGGGGTCGACCAAGGGCAAGGTGGATGGATGGTATCCTTGAAGTGACTAGCTTGACCTTGAAGGAGCTGGGGATGGCCATGGCCGACAGGGAGCTCTGACTTGAGTTGGTCCATGAAGTCACAAAGAGTCGGAAGCGACTGAACCAATAAACACACCAAAAAATCAAGAAAGTCATATGGCCTACACCAAGTCTATGATTCAATGTAATCCGTATATAAATCTGCATTGATATTTGCATATATGGAATGATAGGCAACTAGATAGCAGATTAATCTTTCTTTATAATAATTACTGTCACATTACTAAGCAACATATAGAACGAATGCCCAAAGTGCTCACGATCATCCTTTATTAGTTGCAGCCTGAAGAATGCTGCAATCACATGTAATGCATGTGGAAATAAACTTAATGAGCAATGCGTATGAAAAGGCCTGGCAGACAGATTGTAAAGTAGTACCTTGCTTTTGGGCGGAGGGCTGGTTGTGCTCTTGTCAGTATGGATGCTGGTAGGTGATACTGCTGCTCCGAGGTTGCTTTGGGGAATGCCGGGTATTTTTCCACCTGGGGATACTTGCATTGCAGCAAGCTGGGCAGCATACAACTGCTGTAAAAAGAACAACAACAAAAAAAGACAGCAATGAGTCAAAGCAGGGATGGGGAGCTCATCAGGTAGGAAAGAGTGAACCAATATTAATTAGAGAAGCCCCTCTTACTCATCTAACATTAGTTCACTTGAGAGTTTTTAACAGGAGTTGCTATGGTAGCTCATTTCAGCAAAACAATGAAGGGACATCTTTAAGGCCAGCAGGTTTGTTTTAGCATGAGCTTTAATGGATTGCAATCCACTTCCTGAGTTGCATGGAGTACTATGTTTTTTTTAAAAAAATAGATTGTGTTAAGGGTTGGGTTGTCATTAAGCATATACATCAATGTCTATTAACAAAAAAATTCAACTCTTTCCTTAAACAGCTTTCTTTTTGCACAACTTTAGCAATTATGAAAATACATAGAATACTCCACACATAGTTTTCCTGTTTGGCTAACATTTTTGTGTAGAAATAAAAGGACTTTCTGCAAACCTCTGTATTTTTGACTGAGAAGTATGTTTCTACATAGGAAAAGTATGTTACCATCATACAAATTTAGTTCACATCCCAGCTTATTAACTATAAGGACTTATGAAGACTCTCTGCCCCGGAGTGTGGTGGAGGCTCCTTCTTTGGAAGATTTTAAACAGAGGCTGGATGGCCATCTGTCAGGGGTGAGTTGAATGCAATATTTCTGCTTCTTGGCAGGGGGTTGGACTGGATGGCCCATGAGGTCTCTTCCAACTCTTTGATTCTATGATTCTATGACTAGTAGATAATCAAATGCAAGAATCCATAACAATCAGCAAAAAAGAAAAGGAAGGAAAGCCCAACAGGATTAGAATATAACAGGGATAGAAATTAGGAATGAGAAGAATGCTTAAACACTAAGAAGTGAGGATGAAAAGGGGTTAAGAGAAGTGATGCATTTACGAATGGCATTATATGAATCTATACAGGCTTGTGTAGTGTAGATGGGGCCTGCATAGCTCTGAAGCATTCAGTGGCTTCAAACTACAAGAAAGGAGATTCCATCTGAACATGAGGAAGAACTTCCTGACTGTGAGAGCTGTTCAGCAGTGGAACTCTCTGCCCCGGAGTGTGTGGAGGCTCCTTCTTTGGAAGCTTTTAAACAGAGGCTGGATGGCCATCTGTTGGGGATGCTTTGGATGCAATTTTCCTGCTTCTTGGCAGGGGATTGGACTGGATGGCCCATGAGGTCTCTTCCAACTCTATGATTCTAGACTATAGCTCCCATAATACCTTAACCAACATGGCCAATAAGGAATCTATAGTCCCAAAAAAGCAACTTTTCTGAGCTGTTGTAGGTTTATTCAGGCTATATGGCCATGTTCTAGAGGCATTCTCTCCTGACGTTTCGCCTGCATCTATGGCAAGCATCCTCAGAAGTAGTGAGACCTCACTACCTCTGAGGGTGCTTGCTATAGATGCAGGCGAAACATCAGGAGAGAATTCATCTACAGCATGGCCATATAGCCCAAATAAACCTACAATAACCCACTGTTTCCGGACATGAAAGCCTTCAACAATACAACTTTTCTGAGCTTTGGATGTTAAAAGCAATTACTATGGCTGAGTCAGTTTCCTCTAAGAACCCAAACATGTTGGAGAAAAACAGAAGAAATACTTTTACTATCTCCCTGATATTTGGTGCGCTTGTAGGTCAAGGCAATGGATAAGCTGTACAGCTGTAAAGCAGCTGACAATGAAAGTACGGAGGTATGGAATATGTATCAGCAATGTGCATTTGACCATTATTTCAAGGATAAGAAAATCAACAAAATTATACATCTTTGCTGAAGATGCTTTCCATTGTAATGCTAAGTATAACCAGACTGGATATTATAACAAACAGAGCAAGGACAAACATGCGACACTACCGTGACCAACGTTATGATCAGGCATTGTTGTTATTGGGTGATCTTCTTTTAACATTGACTGTTTACATTAGCAGAGCAATGAAGGTTGGAGGGCACCAGACGGTGGAATGCTAAACAAAGCATGTGATCTCCGAGGATGAGTTTGGAACAGCATTTCAAGGTGATCGGGCAAAAGGGGGAAAGCTCAGAAGTTCCAAAGTAGCTTTCAAAGATGCAAAGAGATATTATGCATGTGTGTTTATACACCTAACTCTCTCTCTCCTTCCTCAGCTAATTCAAGGAGCCTGACACTAATGTTGGATAGCATCATCTTTTGTTCAAGATGACCTTGATTCAGGGCCCTTCCCCACTGTCCCTATATCCCAGGTCATTGCGGTTATTTGCCCCACTGCTCTGTTGCCACCATTTTGAGGCAAGGTACTGACACTGTAGCACATGATCCTCAAATATCTGGTGATAGTGGAGAACTATCAGATCCTATGGAGGGATACAAGATTTTGTAGGTCCGATCATTTACTCTGGGTAACTTTTTCCTGTAGAGTTATCTAGTATTCCAGGTGGAGAGAGTTGGCTTCATCGTGACATTTATATTGCGCAATTCACTCATACCTGTCCCCATTCAGTACCCTATTTCCCAGTCTGTTACCCTAAATATTGCACTCCCATTGACTGGAACAATAGCAAATTGGCTGTGCAGAGAAAAAATAGTTACCACCTATCCCAGCAATCTGATGAGGCATGATGCGAGTTTATTTATTTATTTATTTATTTATTTACCATATTTGTATACTGCCCTTCTCAGCCCGAAGGCAACTCAGGGCGGTTTGCACTTGGCAACATTTGATGCCCCAACTAATAAACAATCATAAAATACTGTTAAAAACATTTGTATAAAATATAAATGATAAAAACCATACAAAGCCATATTGTATTATTGTGAGTGTCATTATTGTGAGCGTCTCCTTGTTAAAATCGTTATTCAGTTGCATCGTCAGGTCATTCCATGATTTCGTATAATTATGCTAGATTAGCAAAAACCTGCTCAAAAAGCCAGGTTTTAACCTTTCTTCAAAAAGTCAGGAGGGAGGGGGGTGCTCTTATATCCCTGGGATGGGCATTCCACAGTCAAGGGGCCACCATTGAGAAGGCCCTGTCTCTCGTCCCCGCCAAATGCATCTGTGAGAAAGGCGGGACCGAGAGAAAGGCCTCCCCAGATGATCTTAGTGTCCTAGATGGTTCATAAGGAGAGATACATTTGGATAGGTAAGCTGGTCCGTTCAAGAGTCCCTGGGTGGATATAGGTTCCTTGTCCCCAATATATTCCCCATTTTGCCTTACTCCATCAGTGGCATAAACACATGAAACATGCCATTTCATAGGTATTAGCATGAAATGTGGGGCAAGTGAATCCAGTTCAACAACCTGGGTGTCTTATTGCCAAGACACTGCCTCCACAATTGAAGCATACACACTAGAGACAAAAATAAAACCATTCTGCTCGATATAACTTCAAATATTTTGGCAAGTGAGCCACATGTCTGGCTTTTACCACACACAAATCTGGCAACTGGCCCAGAGGTAACGCACAAGGCAGGCAGGAGTTTTTGTTTGTTGTTTTGTCAAATTTGGTCCAGTGGAAATGCAAGCGCCATGGCCTAGGGCCATCCTTGGATGAAGTAGCCCCATGACGTGCAACATTACATGGACAGAATTGCCTGGGTTTTGTTCCCCTCTTGTTTAGTCAATGACATTCTTCTTACAGACCTGCCATGCCTTGTAACAGAGAATGAAATGTACAATATGCAGGATGGGGTGCAGCATGTTAATATTTTTAGACAAGATTGAACTTTGACATTATTGAATCTGTCTGTTCAGATTTAATCATTGCAGGGCAGGACAACGTTTGGCTCAAGACCAGGAGAAAGGACACTGGAATGACCGCATGCTGTGCATCAAGATGGTTAAACTGACAACATTTAGAGAATGAAAAGTTATGGCACCCTCAAGCAATCAAACAAAGGACTGTGTCTATTCAAAGGTCTCTAACGGAGCACTCCAAAATTTGGATTAATTTTATGCTCTAGGGATGCTGCCAACAGTATCTATGGCAGAGCAGTGCAGCGAAACAGTCTATTTTGCCATCTTCTTGCAAGTGTACATTCTCTATGTCTTTGATGCCTTTCCTAGCAGGGAAGGCAGAACTTGGGGTATTTAAATAATTGGCTCTGGAGCCAATTAAATTTGTGTCATTTATTTCATGTGACTAGTGAATGAAGTAGGGGGAGAAAAGGCATGACAATTCCATAATGTTTAGGACATTCTGCTTATACATGTGGGAAAAGCAACTGATAAGCCAAGACATCACAGGGTTTTCATAGTTTGCTCTGACTGTTGGAAGATTAGGACCTAGATTACACATTCACTGTAGGGATGTGATACCATGGATCACACAAACTCTGAGCTCAGTGCCCAGATTTCTATTCTCCCATAGTCACTTGTGTTTAGGTTTGCTCAAAGCATGCCACTTGTTGCTAAAGGCTGAAGTTATGCCAGAAATTACAATAAACATATTGTATGGATCTACACAGTATCAGTAAGAATCTGATAATAGGCCTTTCTTTTCCCTTATATCTGTACTATCTGCCTAAATCACTTACAAGCATACTTTTTTCCCATTGCTGTTGGAAAAACATTTTATGGCAACATTTTGGATACACTGTATGGTACAATCCCTGTGTCCATGGGACCATTACCATGGTTTCATTTATTTACTCATGCCTGAGAAAACTATTTTCTAAGTACTCTGGGTGATTTGATAGCATGCTTCTAAAGGAAGTTGATCATAGAGTCATTTGCTTTGGTTAGACCACACCTGGAATATTGTGTCCAATTCTGGGCACCACAATTGGAGAGAGATATTGACAAGCTGAAATGTGTCCAGAGGAGGGCGACTAAAATGATCAAGGGTCTGGAGAACAAGCCCTATGAGGAGCAGCTTAAGGAGCTGGGTATGTTTAGCCTGAAGAAGAGAAGGCTGAGAGGAGATATGATAGCCATGTATAAATATGTGAGAGGAAGCCACAGGGAGGAGGGAGTAAGCTTGTTTTCTGCTTCCC